ATAAATGTGGATTAATTCGGAATCATTTTGATCTACCAAACAGTAGTCCACTTCCAAACACCAAATACCTAATAAATGATGATAAATGTCTAAATGACTTGAAGTTAATCGCTTCAAAACATATCCATGAATAAAACTTTAAAAATAGCATGTTCTCATAGTTGTGTTCCAGATCAGGAATGTTTAAACCAACAATAGTCAGATAAGTTTGGGATCTAGTAATATACTATTAGAACAGAACTGTTGTTTTGATAAAATAGGGGGAAGACTTTGCTGGTCGAACATTTCTGCTCATCAGCAAAGCCCTCAACCAATTTTTTGTGAACCGAGTCATTGATGCACTGAGTAAATTCACGTCACAGAAATAAATCTACTGTTCGTGTGCTGAATATTCAACTAAGCATGACCACGAGTTATTTGTAAGATAACAAATTATGAATATAGCTCATATGTTAACCCTTTAACCCACCAAACCAAATACTCATGATATTTATTAATACTATTAAGCGTTTTCTATTAACCCTAAACCTCACAATAGGCTTTAAAGTATATATTGTTTCCTTTTCATAACATAATTGTTCGAAACACTTTATTAACCTCGAATGACTTATATTTTCTTTCCTTGGAATATAAATTTAGCTGACCTTTTATTTTGACCTCTATGTTATAAAATCTTTAATAAACTGATTTTTCCGAATGCGAATATGAACTAATCGCCAAGAGATGGGGAAGTCAATCGATTTTTGTTAATAAATGACCTTAATATCAACCTGATTATCGAAGCCAGGTTTATTACGTTTATTCGAAAACTAGACATTTGAGTCACCCAAAACAATACTTTTTTTAATTTGTGTGGTACAAAAGTATAATTTCACTACTATTACTACAAACAATAACACTACTTCTAACGTTTGTTACCCCTCGTAGAAAATAGGTCACCGACCAGGATTCTCCGACCAATACTGTTCTCGGCTCTCCTTTCCAGTTACTATTCATTCTTTTGATGTCTCCCTCGAATTTCTAAATCAGCGTGTTTTTAGTTCTTCCACTTCACCTTCTACCTTTAGGATTCCAGGTTTGGGGTGACGTCTTGATGCAGACTGGTGATCTTCGCAAAACATGTCCTACCCACACCCAGCGTCTTTTCCTAATTTTTTCTACAGCTGGAAAACGGTTTGTTCCGTCAAACTATCTCTCAGCATTTCTGCAGCTACTTGATTGGTCCTTCTAGTTTCTTACATTGTCCGGACATTCAACGTACCTAAAAGGGACATCGACTTCGTGATTTACGAAAAATCTCGTCTTTTACCATGAGGCATCATAACTCTTCTAAATGAAGAGCCTTCAACTCTCAGTACAAAGTTTAAATGGTTTAATTTGTTGTTTTTTTCTGGTTAGCGTATTTTAGCAAAGTCGTTTTCTACGGAATGAAGTTTTAATCATATGTTCAAACCCGTCTTCTATCTGAGCTTGGGACCATCAGTAGATCTGGAATGGCTACAGGTGGAGTTATAGTTTCATAATAAATGAAAGATTTCAAATAGGAAAATGTGAAAAATGTTTCATTATAGAAGAATCACTGTCAGGATACTATGAAATTTATTTGTTTACATGTCTTATCTCAAACATTATTTCCAAATTAATGAAGACTGATATATTTATTAAATAAGGCAGGAGTAATTGCAACGGTTGAACTCTCGATACATTGTTCTTAAACGTTTTACTTGTCATATTTTTTGTAGACACAATATTTCATAACATTAAGCGTGGAATACAGATGAATTTTGTTGTATCATAGAAATAAATTTTTTTAATACTAAAATAATGTTGTTCAGATAGCGGAACTGAAATAAAATTATAAAATCAAAGTACCGGCTGATTCTAAAATTATAGTTACAGTGAACATCGCCTTGTTAATCAACCGGCCTATTTGATTGACTGGTCAACTATTAAGTCATAGATGAGTTAGATGGAAATTCGAGAGAACAAGACTTACATTTTTGATGATAACAAGACGGTGTTTATATTTTTAGTATAAAAGAACGAACGATAAAGATGTACCAATACTAAAATGCTCGCTATACATGTGTCGGATGGGAAGAGGACAAAACACGTGCTCGTTTTTGAATATAATCCTAGTCATTCATGTTTGAGTTACATAAGAGTATACTTTAGAACTACAGAAAGCTTCATAGAAAATCAGTTGGGACTAGATAAACGGCCGAGTGTAATTACTTTATTGTTTATCTATAGTTTGACAAGGTAACTACGCTAGAATGACATGTAGTCATCACCATTTTCGACCCATTGAACAATCTCCGGAATGACTGAATAAGAAAGTAATAGAGCCTACCAAACGTTTACTTGGTAAAACAAATGCTCAAATTCAATCATTATATATAACTTGCCAGTAAAATGTTTAATTTATAATAGCTCACAAATTATATCTTTTTCTAAATAGGAAACACTAACAAACTTTGCTAATATATTTAAATAAATATGTTGAAACGATCTGTCTAGGTGATGTGTAGACACAGGTATTGCACATGCAAAAATCTAAGGGATTTGTATACACTTATTTTACACAAGTCCAATTTCATTTCTCTAATTACCTTGAGCACTTCAAAACCCGAATTCTCTTTCCAAATAATTTTTTTGTTTTTCTTCCATTTCTGATACGACACTCGTGTGAATGACAAAATCTAAAACAATCGTCTTCTTCTTAAATTCATCAACTGTATGCATTCGCCTCCCGATTATACTATCAGTCAATATGACTAAATATTATGTTGTTTATAAAAATAATAAAAACATGGTGATTAAATCAACCAAGAAAAGGAGAACACAATACCTTAGAAACTTAAATTCAAATGATTTAAACTGGGGTCATTTTTGTTTTCTTTTAATGATAAACAGGCTTAATAATAACTATGTATATTATTGTTTCAGACTAGCTAAATGTTGCTTTTTTCTGATAATTTCTGATAAATCTTATGTCATAAATCACTTATTTATTCATAATTGATAATTAATTAACTACTAAGTGGTTTTCCTTCCTTTCAAAAAAAAGAATCCCAAACTAGAATCATATTGTTTATGTCAATTTTTAAATGAAAGTGATGTTTAGGAAAGAATCAGATATTAGTCAATTCCATATTTTTTTAAAAATATACTTATGATGTATTAGAAATGTATGTTTATTGGATAACTTGATCGGATAATATTACACAATGAAAATGGATAAATTAGTTCTCCATCGTTAAATTAACGGTTCACTCTTAATGTATAATTACTATATCAGTGGTATTGGAGAAAAATATGTACTTACATATACAATCATTATTTTTCAAAAATTATTGAAATTACTATAATATCCACTAGTGACTGACTTCAAGAAGCATTTCCTGGAGTTCTAGTGAGGAATCGTGACCAGTGCAGTTCAACCGGGTCTGTTGTCAGATAGTAACTCACTGAACGTGTCGCTCAATTTCATGGATTAGTTGAAGTTAGACATTAACATCATTGAATGCTGACTCATCAGTCTAATGGTTAAGTGTTCGCGCGCAAGACAGATAGGTCCTGTGTTCGAATCTCGCGATGGACGCACATTGGTGAGAAGTCCCGCAATAGGACAAAACGGCCGTCCAGTGCTTCTAGGTTGTCAATGGTGGTCTAACTTCAATTGACTCATGGTCTCAACTATTAAAAATAAAGAGTTATTTAAACACACTTCAGACGATTGTTTTAATCTTCATATTCAGCAAATACTTATCAATGTTCACCTTTGTTTTAAACAAAACTTATTTAACAATTGAATTATATACGTGACAGATAAGTATTAAAAATATAATTAACTAAATTATGTAATTGTGAACAAAACAAGATTGATGAAAATTGAACTGATTCTTTTTATTCGATTTAATTGTTTTTTTTCTACTATTTCAAAATGTAGTTTTAAAGAGAAGCAATAATGTATTCACAATAAGTTATCCGTGACAATAGAATTTACTTCGACTGAAGTTAAATGCAAACAATGATGTCGTTTTTATTTTATTTTTTTCTTTAATTTTCGCTTCTTATTCAATATATTATCGTTTATTCAAGTTTTATTCTAGTGAACATGATTACTGAGAAAATGTTTTACTTTTATTCAGTAGTCTATCGAACGGAACGTTTTTTTCTTATCCCAATGGAATTCAGGTTATTTGTTATGTACACATCTTTAAATGTTAACAATTACAAAAGAACAGAAATGTATTAAACTTTGTTTTGAATAAATCGATTAAATCATACTCACAATTGTTAATGAGAAACTTTATGCCTCAACGTTATTGTTTTTTTATAACTTTACGTTAGAATTCTTAACAATGGACCGAAACAAGTATTATAAAGATAAAACCTATGATCATTAACCCTTCATCGAAATATAAGTGTGTGAAAATATCATACATATAATTACTATATATTATAGATAATCACTATGTAATCTGTCAAGACTTTTTTTAAATATCAAGTTGTAGCTTTTTTTGGCTAAACAAACATACTTAAATAAATACATTATACTAATAATTCAGTGTATAGAATACCCTACTGATCGAAGATCGTTATAACATAATGATCGATGTTGGTTATGATGTAATCTCAAAATAATTACATTGATTTACACTGATAATTTCAGGATTAAATATTAATTATTTATTAAAATTTAATTTATATGCCATTAATTAAAAGATAATAGAAATTCATTATTCAATCATACATTTCAGCTATACCTTACTTTCTCGTGAACTTACACCCATATTTTGATATTATTTACAAATTTTCATATTAAGAGTATTGCCAACAAAATACCATGATAGTAAGACAGCATGAACTATATATGTCTGCCGTAACAACAAATTCAGTCAAATTTAATTGTAATTTAGTCTATTAATTCTTAGATCATTCCTGTTCAATATATATGAGATAGAGTGATTTACTCTGATTTATTTGTTTTATAGGCGATAATTCATGTGTACGTTGTCTACGTAGTTCACCGATTGCATCTTTAGTTGGTTTCATTATTGTATTATTGGGCGGTGGCGCTTTTGGTGGAGCAATCATTTTTGCAAGACGTTATTTAATTACACTTTTAAATGCTCCTAATCTGTGAGTTGTTTATTTATCTGTATGTTGCATTAAATATATTAATTTTTTTAAAATAAAATTGATTTGTATTGTTAAGCTTTTATATAAGTTGAAAACTTTTGTATTTTCCAATGATGTTTTAGGAAATAGAACATAGCTCAACGATGTTTATACACAATATGTATAACGGTAACATAACATCAACAACAGTACAACTCAAAATGAATAACTTAAGCTTATCCAAACTTTCCTCACTATGTTCTCCCATATTCATGGAAAGTTACTTGCATCTTTTTTTGCATACATCATTTCAACAACATTCGAATATGACATTTAAATTTCGGACACAAAACAATACCTTATCTTTGTTAGTACACACCTAAAAGTACACCAAGCATTCTTAAGCTCCCCATGATTGGTCGGAAATATAAAGCGTATATTTTAAAAAATGTATTTATTTTTACATAGATATGAATATATTCACCTAATAACCGCTTTTAGATTGATTCAAGATCAATACTTCGTGTTCCAACAGGTCATCAAGTAGTAAGATATGAATTAGTGCATATTTTTGTGACTTCTCCTGAATCTATCGACAATCTTATATAAACTGTTTATTGCCTACTTATTCACTCACAGAATTATTTCTAAATAACATTCTTCCTTCTCTAAAGAAAATTCAATCCCTATATTTTCACTTTTTCCTAGTTTCATCCTAAAACATAAATAATAATTACATCTAATTACTTTGTTTGTTCAAGACTCAAACAAAAGGTTTTGTATTACATACTTTAACTGACCAATGAATCTGTAGGCATAATTATCCTAAGGAGAGGGTTTCTGTAGATAACAAACCATTATTACATCTCACAAGTCTGTTGAGTACATAATCAAATGTCAAATTATCAGAATCATAGTTTCTGTAATTAAGAATTTTGAAAATTTTTAAGTTTTGCATGCATAATAACTACACTTGCTCAATAATTAACATCAGTAGGATTGACATACAGACTCCAGTGATAGTTTCAATGATTTTCGTTTATCGTCAAATTTGAGATGAAATGTTCAAATACATGCATATACATCAAGGCTAACGAAGGCTGTACACTCTTAGTACATTCCAAATCACTATGATATAGATTTTAAATGCAGTTTTAAAATGAAATCTAAACAAAATTGTTTTGTGGTTCACACCTTCACAAAAGATACGGCTAGTATTTCTGTAGTAAAGATTTATTTTAATTGACCTATTTCAATCACTTGTCATGAATTTAACTGATAATTTATACCAACATAAATAATAAATAAAGATCAATCAGATTATTATTATTATTACTATTATTACATCAGTATACAGTATGGATGGCTTAAATCAAGTTGATATTACTCACAGGAAACTTTTTTATAACCTACTCTGCTGATACTATATAGCTTTCAAATATTTAAACATTGCTATTATTGATTTGTAAACGTTTGCATTAACCCGTCGTTAATGTTGAAGACTGAGTCTTGGTCAGTCTGAAGTTATAGGTAGTAGATATGTAATAATTAACACTATCGTCCAGATACATCTAGTTTATGAGTCCGAAGTAGGACAAAGAGTTCATCCTGAAACCCACTACTAACCATAAGCTAAGTATACTAACCAATGATAATTTACAAAATACCAAGGATTAGTTATTGTGTATCTGACGATCTTATTACTTATTTGTAGATTCCCTTACTTGGACTATGCTATTTATGGTCTAGTCGGAGCAGTAGGATTATTCTCACTGTTAGCCTACTTACTATGTGCTCTGTCTTCCGGTTGGAATGCAAAACACTACTTTGAAAGTAGCCGAAAAGCATGCTGCGGAAGATGCTGTAATATGACGGTAAGTCTTATATTTTGTGAAAATTTATGTCAAAAGAATTTTATCTGTATTCTTCAGAGGTAACCTCATAATTCATCTTTGAAAAATAGAAATATGTTTGTCTGAATTAGATAATCACAGTTTCTAGGGATATGTCTATTGGTTCAATCAATCCGACGATCATTGAAAAACCTGGATTGTTTTCCCAAGTTAAAGCTGTATAAAAAGTAGACCTTTAGACTCTTAAAATTAGTGACTATTCTAATGACCGAGATTTCTAACTTCAATAAATTTTTTATGCAACATAGTTACGATTGAGAACCATACCACTATAAAAATTATCAGAAAATACGGGTAGGTTATGTAAACAAGTATAAGCTTTCGTAATTTTTTTATTTTATATCCTTCTGAGGATACTAGAAAACAACCTGCCATTTTTCTTAACAAATGTTCAATTTATAATGTTTTAACTAAAGGCACTTATTTTCCTTAGGTTAGAGTTCCTTAGCATCACAACTCTTCTATTATAAACCTATCTAAATTTATTAGCTTTTTAGTACAGAAATTTTGATGGTCTTTGAGTAATTCCTAAATCAACATCATGTAAATACACTCTTAACTGAAAGGAATATAAATATAGTCAGTATTCAATCTTACTATTCTTAACTCTTCTTTTAGGACAATTGATTAACAGCAATATAATTTTTGCCTATCTGTTTACTTTAAAGTAATTTTTGAATAGAAAATCACTGATGTACTTGATTTCTTTATTTTGTTCCTCATGATTCACCTATCGTCTTATTTTCACTTTGATTAATAACTTGAAATCAAATAAACAAGATCCATGACTTGTGTATGTTGTATTTAAGTGTTCAATGGACTTCGATTTCATAAAAATAGTTACTTGCTTGAAATTTCACTGACAGAAATTTATCACCATTTCTAAAACTGTACTAATTATCACTGAGTAAACTTCAAATAAATACAGCAATTTACTGTCAACATAACTTCGATTCCTAAAGTTAGTTTTGTTACTTCACTCACATAATAAAATACCCTTAAATAGTCTTGTTTTTAGTTAAGAGTGTAACAAAAAAGCTTAGAACAAAAAAAAATAATTATCTAAATACTCACTTGAAACCGTGTATTTCGGTTAGATAGTTAATTTAAATGCTTCTCAAAATGTTTACACTTAGTTATTCATTGATGTTTACATTCACGATTATCAGCTATTTTACAACTCTACTAATTGTTAGTGGTCAGTAAACAATGGCAATTTAAATAATTTATTTATATTGTGCTTGTCGATTTGTACTATTCTCAAACTACCAAAAAAAATGTTGAAATTTTTTTCTTGTAACCCAGTCAACTCCAGCTCTCAAATCGAATTACTCAATGTAAACTTTAAAGGCTCCTAGTATGCATGAGAAGAGAAACTCTATGCTGTTTTTTTTTTTGGAAGAGTACTTCAAAACTAATATATGGTGAAAAATATTTAATTCATGATAACTAGATGTTGACTATTCATTACAATGGTACTATTTTGTGAAGTTTCACTGTGTCCATGAAAGTTGCAGACTTTTGCTTATGTTTAATGTACCTGTAGATACTCCTATAAGAGTAGTTGGACAAAAATGGTAGTGAAAAGATTTATCTCGTCCGTAATTTTCTTAGTCTATCAGTAGTAGTTTGATCAAGAATCTATAAACGACTGGATTGTATCAAATATTTCCTTATCTATCTAATCTAATCTAATCAGAAAACTGATTTTTGTTGAAACATACACATTTGGGCATTATTAGTATGAAGAACTTACATCTAGAAACACATTTCAAAATGGTGGCAAGTAGTTACTTTTTTGAACATTTTAATTAAGCTAACTAAGAGAAATAGTTGGCAAAGCTAATCCATTCATTAATTCCTCAGTAAAAATGACTCATAATAAAGTATACAAACAACAACAACAAAAAATAACAGAAAATGTGAAACAAATTTTCGGACACATAGTTTATAAACCTGTAATCATTAAATCTGTAAATACGGTCATTCTGTCTCATTTAACGAACATAATGTTGATCTGGCAATTATAATGATTACCATGTATATGTTTCTAATCGATAAAACGTTTTTCAAATGTGTTGAATGAATATGGTTTATAATTATGTTCATCCTTTTAAAATTAAGTTTTATAAATGTCTAAGTTCTTCGTTAAACGATAAACAACAAAACAAGAATAGAACATTTATCATTATTTTCATATGTAAATATTTATAATCATTATACCATGGAAACCAAATGTGTTTAATTAACTGAATGTGAACATTTAACACACAATGACCTTCATATTAATGTACAGTTCAAAACATCTAGAATTAAGGGAAATAACATCTTTTAGATGAATCACTATCTATCTACATTTCAAAACAAATAAAACTAATTTCGATAATGTAATATGAAGACGAAGATTATCAGAACTATGTGTTGACATCATTATTATTACTCTTATCATTATCCCTATCCTCTCTTACCTCGTTTTCAGTCTAGATGACCTTTTATTTTTATATATAAATGCCCTTAACAAGTATATGTGTGACCAGATTGTTCGAAATGTATTGCGCTAATATATCACATCGTTCTGATAATCTTCGTCTTCTTATTACATTATCGAAATTTATCAAAGGGACTAATTATTTTAAATAAAACTAATCTGACCTAATGTTGAAAAAATAGATCAAAAATAGAATAAAATGTATGGTTAGGATCATTTTCATAAGTGTTTAATTCTAAGATATCTTTCATTAATTTTGGATTCTGATAATGTTCACACGAACTTTCATCCGAGTATCATTTGGCATACACGCAAATATACGTTACATACACATCGATAACACATAGGTTTTATCTCACGACATATACATAGGTATATTCACCCACTTGGGAGCGTAGATATTCACCGATCCCAATGAAAACGTATTTGCTACACCAAACTGACTGTTACACATTATATGCATATCATTCACACTATGACTACCGCCCCAGTACTTCCCAATGCACACATAAGCACTCTCTCAAAGGAGGTTGTTGGTCACCTCTCCTTAGTATTTTCTACCACCTGTATTCATTATGTCTTCGACATGATAGACTAGGTCTCTCATTTTATTAGACATAGGGTAGACGATATTTCAGCGAACGTTTCTATTACACGACACCACACGCATGTTGTTGACATATACCTACACACATGAACTATATAGGCCCGAGGACGTCTGTAATTCCTATACATAGGTATACACAGCAGGTGACCTAGTGCGATTAAGTGGGCGCCGAGTTGAAACCCGAGTAAATCAAGGATACAATTCGTTGACTGATTAACCTGATCTCCGTCGTTGTAAGATTTAATGGTTCTTAAAAAAAAGAGATAATACAAAAAATATTTTTGCTCAATCTGTATCTTATCTGTTGATTCCATAAATCAATGCAGAACATATTATTTTCCATGTACATTAAAGAATATCAGAATAACTGCACATTTAACATCTACTAGGCTTTTAACGAATATTATGATGATGATGATCATCATCATCACCATCATCGTAATCCTTAATTAACAAATCTATCCACAAAACATCAGTTATATTAGTGTACATCCCTTAATTGAGAACTACATCAAAATTTCTATTTTATATCTGTTTTTAAACTAATTGCTTAATACTATTAAGTTTACTCACCTTTATCTTGATTTTCATCTTTATATATAACACTAAAGTGTTTTAGAATTAATTATTATCACTATCACCATTATTTATTTCTATTTTGTTTATTTACGGATATTAGAACGACATACCCACTTTAATTACTAAACACATGCAAATATGAATCATCTTTTAGTGTTCTACCCTTTTTACCGTATTAAACAAAATAATCAGAAATCAATTTGTTTTGTTGTTGTGTTATTTTCTTTTGGAAGTATTGGAATGCAATAGAAGTTTATCTATGCATCAAAAAAAAGGAAAACCTTAACACTTCTTTTTACTTTATTATTGATGGAGAAAAATAATAAAACATACCCATATATGACATAGGTAATTTTCTAAAAGCATTTGAAAGAAAAACACAACCCAGAACAACAACACACTTATTTATGATTCATTATTTCCGTTGTATTTCACTTCTTTATTAAATGTTCTTAAAGTATGTTCTTCTGATATAAAAATGATTCAGATCTCATAGTAGAGGATAAACTCACTTGATATTGTTTTACTTGAATCTTCCCATTGATGTTTTGGGACTGAAATTGATCAGTCTCTTATTGGCATATGTGCATACTGTGCGTATGCCTCGAAACGCGCGTCCTGGATTCCACTGCTAGCCACTATCCATCTTTGCTTATAAGAGGATAAACTGTTTAAATTTTTTGTTAAATAAATTAAAAGTGTCCATAATAAGAAAGCATAACAAACAGTAACAGAGATTAAATAGAAATTAGTTTTGAAGTAGAACATCAAAAACTTAGTCAAGCAAAAATGAAAAAGAAGAAGAAGAAGTAAACACAATGCATACAGAAGAAGAACAACAACAACAAGGAGAAAACAAACCAACTTGTGAAAAAGTCAACAAGAGACTTATTCTACATAAAAATGATGTTATACAACATATAAGTTAATAAATAATTCAATAGAAAATGAACATGTTGAAATAACTAAATTATCACATCGTGTATTGATAAGACTCGTGTACAATGTTAATATATATGACCGACTTTATTGTATAACTGCCTTAATGACTAGATAACCTTTTATTGATTTATTTATGATGTTTAGGTAATATTTATAGTTATAAGAAAAAGAGAATTCAACGAAGAAAATTTTCTTTTCGACGAAATCATTTACTTAAGCTGTTCTTCGCTGAATTCTCTTTTTCTTATTCAATGGCACTATGGGTTATTTTTAGTTGTCTATGTACTGGACGGCCGTTTCTTCCTAGTATAGGACTCCTCATTATTGATCGACATCAATTATTGAGCTGACAATACCAAGTTCAAACCCAGTTGTTTAAAAGGTTATGGCCTTGGTTCTCGATGTGCAATAGGATCCTTAATCCTGGGATGTACTATGCTAGGGTAAACAACTATTCACTTTGCCATGGTTCCCTATAGTTTATCAACTGATGTTAATCTATGACTTAAATTTGTAGACAGATGAACTCTTACTGTGTGACTGAATTTTTAATTCAGTATTCATATTATAATTAAAATCATGATTAGATCATAGTAACGTTGATCCAAAATGAAGGTTGTGCAGTTATCATACTTAATAAAGCACTCGATTTTTGAGTTACCAGAACTTATATATATTATTGTATGGATTAATATGTTGGTGTCCAAAATTTGATTATTTTTATCATTTCTGGAAAATAAGGGAGAGAAAAGCGTGTTTTTCTCTCCTCTTTTTATTCCCCTCTCCATTTTATGTTCTCTATGCCCAGTTGATAAAGGAAGTGAACTCGGATTATCCATATCAACTAATAATTGTTTACAATTTTTATTGTTATTGTTGTTGTGTCAACATTCGCTTTCACCAATTCTTACTCCTTTTTTTTTGTTTTTCTTTGTTTCATTTCATTATTTGCCTAATCCGTTGCTTCCCTCTAAAGAACTACTTTTCTAATAAATGTAACATTTTTATTCTGTTGTTATTATCTTTTTCCTATTTGTATTTCATTAAAATAAGAATTATCATTTTAAATTAGTCAGTCAATCACAATGCAAATAAACTGACTAACTCTTCTCGTGTTCATCAATCAGTTCATTTTAACCTACTTAAAGGAATTAGTGTCGTAGAATCTGTTATCAATATATATTTTGGTAATATTGTTCAAACAGAGAATAGATATTGAAAAAAAAGATATTTGTGACACGTTGTAACGTTATTTTTTTTCTCAAACTTTGGGCCAAAATCACTAAATCTTTATACTCGATTCATGAAACTACATTGAAAAGAACTTCTGAAACTGTATTTTGTGACTTTTAGTACTGGAATCCCATATACTTTACTTAATACTTTATTTCAAGGTGACACATACTGTTTATTCTTTATATATATGAAAGTAAATTTCTTTCTAAACAGAAATGATAGCGACTAGCAATGGAATCCAGGACGTGCGTTTCGTTCTATGTGGGGCTCATCAGCTGGATGTATCTACATCACGGAGTTGATGTCCACTCCGGGACTCGAACCAAGTGCCGTTCACTTCAAATGCCATCATGTTATCTACTTAGCTACTGAGTCCAGAAAGCTACTATCTTGTGCAATATGGTAAAGTTTAATTCAGTTTTGCATTGTTTGTTCAAATAGCCACCATCCATCTTTGCTTATAATGCTTATAAATTAAGACAGCATCGAGGCAATCTGCAAAGTATGCTCATATGCCAATAGGAGACTGATCAGTTGCAGTTCTAAACATCAATGAAGATATTCAAACAACCAATGCGAAAATGAATTAAATTTATTTCTGCTTTGTATTTATTTACTTATTTGTTTTTCACTTGTATTACCCAAAATGTTGGGTAAATTGTATGTCAACAAAAACTGATATCAAATAGTAGACGAGTCATCTTCTAAAGAAAAACTTTCTGGTCAACACTTGTCGATTAACTGAGAAATCATGTCTATATATTTCTCATTGTTACATCACCTGTTAATTCAAAATGTATCTAATATTGTAAACAGAAATGATTGTTTTAAACAATCGAACTGGTTGCATATCTTTGCCTAATATTTTCAAGATGTTATTGTAATAGAGCGTGCTTATATTTAATATTATTATTATTACCAGTTATTTGCATTTGTTTTCACTACCTATAAGTTTTTCTATTTATATCTCTCACCTTCTAGCTTATCATACTTTTAGTGACGGCTGTCATATTATGGTCAGCTATCGCATGCCTAGTTAGTTACCCAGTCGTCAGTATTGCGCTCTTGTTATACCGAAATGAAGGACCTAGTCGTTTACGACTAGCCTCTGTCGGACAAATGACTTCAGCTTACCATGATGGTCAAGTGAATTTTCTTAGTCCAAGCAATAGTTATACACGTGAAATGTTCAATACCAATGGGAAAATAATAAAACGACGTGATACAAAAGAATGGTTTCCTAATCATCCTAGTGATTTCGATACAGATGAAAGTACTATTGCCATACCGGATGATATTCAAGATAACCTTCAAACAGATCCATCTACTTTAAGCAGAGATCTAACAGCTACGGTGACGAGTCCAAAAATGGTCGATCAGCCACCACCGGTGATAAGTTCATTTGTTGATGATAATTTACCATCATCGTCATCATCGTCAATACCATCAAAATCGTCTTTAAAACCTTTATCAAAAAAAATTATAAAACAAGTAATGAATGATGCTCTTAGTATTCCAGAATCTATCAAATTGTTTCATCAATGTAGTCAAGAGACATTTGATTTATCTTATTACGGTAAGAAAATTTAATCATCTTTATTCTCATGTTAAAAATAGAATCAGAGTATTTTATTTAAAACTTAATAGAATACTTTCACAGAAATGAAACATTTGATAAACAGAACATACATATAACTTGTATTTATCAACCTTCTACTATTAAAATCTTTTCAGTCATATAGTGGCATCAACTTGAAATAAATTGGAGCACAAAATAGCCCTCCCATTTTTGTTCAAGAAAACTAACAAACACCCACAAAACCACTTATCTGATTGTAAATCGTATTTTTACTAGCGATGAGCATTTTCATAAATTTCCTGAAGTTCTTATAAGAATCAATCAAACTGGGAGCGGAATTGATTCGCTGATTATATATTTGAGAATTGTGTGATATTTCGCATTAGCTAAAGTTAATACAGTAAATCACAGAATACTGACTCAACGATCTAAACCCATGGTATACGCCTCTAGATCAATAGATCCTGACTTCGACTGTATGTATTGAATAATTGTTATGCGTCGCTCAAAATTCCTAAACTACGATAAAACAACTATGTTATTCCAGTTAGTTATATGTGAGGTTCTAAATCCGATATCAATTAGTGAAAGAGAAATTTTCTCAAATAAGATAGCTATTACAAAGACACTGTTTAAATATTTAGGCGTTTTATAATGAAGCATCCTTTGATCTTATTAAACTTAATTCTTTAGAAGAGACTTAAGGATAACTAGTAAGAATCTGTAATAGTAGGTTTTGTAATAGCCGGTCAGTCAGTCAGTCATCAAACGAAGTAGAACTTTGTACGTACGTATATCAGTTCTAGTTGTCATACCATATTAGCACAGAGATACAATTGTCAATTCAAATCCGATAGTGGTAGAGGTAGTAAGAGTATAAACAGTGATCAAAAACATTAGGATTTGAAGATGTTATTCAAGGAGTATAATTCAGTAAAATAAATTTTGAAATACAACAAAAACGACATGAATAATTCAGAAGATTAGAATTTGGGAGAACACAAAGAGTGTGTGCACCTGCGCCATTGCAAACGATTTTGAGCCATGCCATTCAAGATCTTTAACCATCGGTTGCCATTATCTCACGGATCCCAACCAAGTAGTCTACACCTACCAATATGGCTCAGTCCACTTGTCAGTGATTTCATGGATTTATGCCATATTTTGATCTGGACTCTCCTGGCTTTCTTCCAACCTACTCTTACACCATAAAACATCGCTCGTCGGGACAGTCGGTGGGTGGGCATACGTAACAAGTGTCCCAGCCATCTCAACTGATGAAGTTTCACTACGTCATCAATTGATTTACCATCCTTACCTAGTACCCGTTTCTTAACAACTGCGTTACTTAGTCGGTGGTCCCATGATGTACGAACAATCCTTCGAAGACACCTATGATCGAATACTAGTAACCTACGAATATCCTCTACTCTTACTGGCCATATTTCACTACCATAAAGTAGGACGAAACGAACTGCTGTGCAGTAAACTCGTCCTTTGGTTGGTAGACTGATATCTAGCCTACGCCATAAATGACTCAAGTTGACAAAAGCTAGTCGAGCCTTTTGTACCCGTGCTGAGATTTCGTCACACACCAGACCACAAGGGCCGGTAGTCACAAGAAAACTATTTTCTTTCAATCGTAAGAGAACTAACCATCTAAATGTGATTAATATATATAAAATCGATTTACCAATAAGAATTAAACTACCAAACAACTAACTTATATACTTTCATAATCTTATAATAACTACTTAATTATCACGGTACTAACGAGTATTATTATTGTTTGATTTCTTGATTGTATTAGAATATCTTTTCACCTTCTAATGTGCATGTACAAAATGGAGTTCTTTGATTAATAAATGTTTACTATCGATTTGTTTACAATATGAAATTGATAATAATAATAATAATAATAATAATAATAATAATAATCGTGTTGACATTTCAATTACGAAAGTTGACATTCTTCAAAAATAAAAGTTCTCCGTTGTTTTTTTTAAGTATAGACAATATAAAACGATCTTAGGAAAGGAGTATATTCCAATGATATTTCAAGAATGAACTAATTATATTTATTCACAGTATTTTATCCTTTAAAATAAACCATTCGAAAAAGAAAAAAAACGGGAAGAATAATTTATTTCCTTTTCTTTTCATATATTTGTTTGTTTGTATTAAAAAACAAAAAAAAACTTATGTTTACCTTGGTGAATAAGATAATAATAATAAAAAGAAGAATGGTAATTTTGAAATAATAGTACATTTTGTAGTTGTAAAAATGAAGATGAAAGACTTCTTCTCTTTATATAATTATCTCTCTGTATGTAATTGTGTATACAAAAGACAAATTCAAGAAATGTTCGGTTGAATTAACTTTGTTTTTAAAAAAAATAAAGCTTAGAAAATTCGTGTCAACTGACGATAAAACACAAAGAAAAATTTCATTTATCTCTTTAATAGAACAGTTTAAATGTATTTACTTGAATGCTAAGTTACTAGGATACTGAAAATTGTTGAAATAAAACTGTTTATACTATGAATTCACTTGATATTGTTTGCTTTAATCTTCCCATTGACGTTTAAGACTGCAACTGATCAGTCTGTTATTGGCATATGTACATCTTGTGCGATTGCCTCAATATTGCCTTAATTCACAAGCATTATTAGCAATAATGAATAGTGGCTAGCGGTGGAATCCAGAACGCGCGTTTCATTATATTTGGGACTCATCAGCTGAATTTCCTTGCACCTCAGAGTCCACCCTGGGACTCGAACCCAGTACCGTTCGCTATCAAGCTTATGAATTAAGGCAATATCGAGGCAGTACACACAGTATGCACATATGCCAATAACAGACTGACCAATCGCAGTCTTAAAACACAATGGGAAGATGGAAGCAAACAATACGAATTGAATTTAAATCCACCCCATTGCACAAGCAAGTGGCTATCAGGACTCAGTAGCTGAGTGGATAACGCGATGGCGTTTGAAGCAAATGGTACTGGGTTTGAGTCCCACAGTGAACATCAACTCTGAGATGCAGATACATCCAGCTGACGAGTCCCAGATAGGACAAAACGCGCGTCCTGGATTCCACTGCTAGCCACTAGTCATCTTTGTTTATATTATAAGTTTATCCAAGTCATATAGTATTTTTCTTTGATAAGTTTTGTTCCCTGAAATCTTAAAACGTTAACTTCTTAGCCGATTCCTAGATTGTCACAATCTTGAACTTTCAAACTCTGATTGAATTTAGAAGGTGAAAATATGAAAGAATCTTTACTAATAGAGTTTGTTTAATTTTTACAAAATAAAGAGTATTTATGAAGTTATGAGTAACGTTATAAACCTATAGAAAATTACTCAGATTCCGAATTAGTTTTGTACTTAAGCAATTAGAGATTAATCAAAATTAATTTAAGTTACTGTACGGCTTCTAATAAATTTTTCATAGAATTATGGATACCTTTTCACAATTTCAATAATTTAGTTTCACGCATAACTTTTATAAACAGTGATTAGGAGAAGGTTATTTTATCACTAAACAAATCTGTATTTTCGTCAAGTAATGTTTTCAGGCAAATGAGTAAATATTTAAAAGGTTTATTCTTTCTATCAATATGATCTGCATATTTATGAATAATGAAATCTATCATGATAAATTGGTGTGTGAAAGGTATTACATAATGAGAGAAACTATAATTCATTTATACATAAAACAAACACAAATGAAGATTACACACTTTTAGATGAACAGTAATCCCTATTAGATTTTAGAAAAAAAAGAAAGCTTCAAATGAAACTCAATAATTAAACTATAATCATACAAAAAAATGGATTAGTAATACTTTGGTCAAACTATAATCTGAGGATATCAGTGACTTTACGTTTGAGATTAGGAACTCGCAAATATTCAGATAAAACTACTTTAAATATAAACTGAAAAACTTTTAAAGATTATAGAACACTGATAACCTGTTTTGACTTCATTTTGAACTTCTCCACAGTGAGCATACAAACTCTATATACCATTGACTTTATAGTGAAACTATACAAATCTTTATAAATCATCTATATTCAGTGTTGAAAATTGGCCATCATGCTTTTGTGTTTCCTTAAGTATATTTTCAGTGTTTTTATCACTTAGTCATGTCATTCTACTCGTTATTACATATTATCTATATTACTTATTCGCATTTGTTCTATTTTCTTTCATACCCATGAATTTCCATCAATCAGGGTTTGTTTTGTCTGCAAAGACACTTGAATAGTTTAGAATAAGAGATCTTTTAATTTTCACTTTGTTTAACCATGAATTTCCATACGATTTACTTTCGTCAGATCAAGAAAATTATTTGTTCAATGCATCTTCATATTTAAAACAAACAGTCAAAACTAATATAAGATATTTAAGAAGTTCACTGAAGAGTTTTTAAATAACATGGTATATAATATATCTGTATATATGCTTCATTAATGTGATCTTTGTTTTATCTTTTGTTTTTCAACTAGGTCTATACGATGCCAATGGTTTACCGATACATATTGCACGAGCTAATTTCTCTGAAAGAATATATGATATTTTAGTCTGTGTAATTCTCGCTATCGCTGGTATATTCCTATTACTGTTCGGTTATGTAAGTATATGAGCGAAAATCAAATTCAACTTCTTGGTGAAATGATAAAATGTTATTTTGTATTTTCTATTTCAGAAAAAAATTAGGTACCGTTTAAATAAGGCTGTAAGATATTTTACTACTTACTATGTATGAGTAGTAAAATAAGTCAGACTTTGTCGGATCTTACAAGATATTATTTACTTGTAAGACAATCGTCTGATCAAAAAATTCATTTTGTTGTGAAAACTCCTTTATTCAATTAAATAAAAAGCTGTTAATCATGTGAATAGTTTTTATTTAAATATGACTTATTTATTTATAAACATAAAGGTGTTTTTGTCCGTGATAGTAACTATAAATTCACTTACCTTAATTATTTAATCTCTATATTGATCACAAGTGAATGAACTTTTCATTTTATCCACCATGTCACAGTAGTAAAGAAGAATGATCGTTTTCAAATGTCGTCGATTAAAATAAACAGGTGAATCATCACTGAACAACTGATGATGGCAATAGTGAACGGGTCCGAAAGTATCTTTGTTTGGTATTTAACAGCTGATTAGTCACAACTTCAACTGATATGTTACATCTACTGAGGAAATAAATAAATAAAAATAATGCCGGCTCAGTGGTCTAGAGATTAAGCGTTCGCCCGCAAGACAGATAGGTCCTGGGTTCGAACCTCGCGACGCGGGATCGTCGATGCGAGCTGCTGAGGAATTTCTTACTAGGACGAAACGGCCAGCCAGTGCTTACAGGTTTTCCATGGTGGTCTAGTTTCAATCGACTCATGATCTCAACTGTTGGAAATAATTTTGTCTGTCAAATGTATTTTACAAAACTTTTATTAACATTACTTAAGTTTAAACAACAAAAATACACTGAAAGAAAAAGGCAAATGACTTGGTTTCTAAGATTAAACCTTGTAATAGAAAAACACGATGACTTTATTGTTGAAGCAGGCTTGTTTATCGTGGTGTTACTTTCAAATCAATTAATAACAAAATTACTTGCCGATTGGAATAAAAACAGTAAGAACTTTTAAATCCTCAGTCTTTATTTGCCATATTACATCGAATATTATCCGTAATTACAGTGTCAACTGTGAAGACTAACTAGTAACAGGTAATCGTGAAAATACAAGAATTGTTAGATGGTGCATATGATTTTAGCAAGAAAATAATTTGACTTGACGAAAAGGCTTTCATCAAATTTCTACACAATGCTATAATCTGTGTTGCCTCATAACAACCCATTTTGCAATTTTGAGGTCTTTTATCATCCAGTTAAATTTAAAGTAATTTGGTTATATGAAGATCATTCTACTTATTAAGTCGGAGAAAAATATAATCGGTAAAATAAATACAATTTAATGATACTATTGTGCATTTACTAGTATCGTATATATTGAATTACATTTTTAGTATTTTTGCCAATAATATGTTATTACTCATATTTCTTATCATTTTAGATACAAATAATTATTTGTACTGCTATGAATTATGCTCGAATGCAAGAGGCTAGATATTATGAAACATCTGATGTTGGTGAAGAAGGTGTTGCATTACAACAATAAAATACACTTCATAAAAATAATTTTATAATTTCATTAAATATGATTCATTATGATTTCAATTATACTTACACTATCCTTCATATATACAATTATCTACTTTAAAACTTATCAACAATATTAATGCATAAATATAGGAAAGATGATCATTGCACATTGTATAGTTATTGGAATAAAATAAAGAATAAACACTTCCAAAAGACAGTTTTCTCATGAACAAGATATCTTTATTTATGTTCCAGAATAATCAATATAATAATGACAATCCTCTTTATCATTAACTTATGTAATATCTCATTATTGACATCCAATTTTATATTTTTACTTTTAAATCTATCATTATTCATGTTGTTCTTTTTTGTACTTGTGTTGTCTGTCATGTTTGTTTGTTTTTCTCTTTTTAAATAATTATCCAGTTGAAAAAGAAAGAAAAATGAAAATAAAACAAACTAAACATTATTTAGTTGCTTGTTTTTTTTTCTTCTCTGTTAAATCATTCCATAGCTTTTTATCATTTACCATCTAAATATTATTTTCTGTTAGATAATAAAACAAAAGAAACAAAAAAATTGTTCATCATTTGAAAATCTATACGCTACATTTTAATTGTTTGAATGACGTTCAATGTTTCAATTTTAAAAGAAAATAAAAAAAAGAGGGAGAATAATTTAATTATATTTCCGCTTTTTTTATTGAAATTCATCATACTGTATTGCTTAACGCTTTAATTCATTTTACTTTATTTATATTAATTAAATAGTCAACATTATAGTAACAGACGTATACATATAAAAAGCTTCTTTAATATGTTCGATATATATATAAACATAGTTTTGTATTCAACATATGAATGTTTATTTTTTGCCATTTCATTGTTTTGTTCTTTTATTGATAAACAATTAATCAATAATAATTCTTAATTATAACTTTTTATTTACACAAGTTTACAGTTTCATAATTTGATTTTTTTTTTGGTTTTGTTCTGTTGTTGTTGTTGTTGTTGAGTTTTTCATATAGTTGAAACAATAATCAATGATATTCAACTGATGAATGTTTAATTATTAATGAGAATTAAATACATATGAAATTTGTTTCATATTATTCCTCATTCCCTCTCTTATTATGTGTGTTTGTGTGTTTTCTTTTCTTTTTTTACTGTGCTTGTTTATTTTAATTGATTATTTTCTATAAATTTTTGTTGTTTTTTATAAGAATATTATTATTACTATCAATGATAACAATAATAATAATAGTAATGAAATCAGAAGGAGTTTTGTGGATGTTATAATAATTTCAATATTTGAAACTCCTCATCAGTTTGCATCCACGATCCCACCTCTCGAAGTTCAAACTCAGAACCTATCGGTCTCGCGCGAGAGCGCTTAATCTCTAAACCACTGAGTTGGTTGAAGAATCCCACAGTAGGGCGAAACGACCGTCCAGTGCTTCCAGGTTTTCTATGGTAATCTAACTTCAATTGACTCATGATCTTAACTGGTAAAATAATAGTAATAGTTCAAATGGTGTTGATGTAAATTATGTTTACTCTATAAAAGATTATTGTAAAATTTTGGAACAGATATCTAGCTTGCATACTAGTTTGTACTATTCACCAATCTTCATTTTTAAAAGAATTTTTGTTTTTTCGAGTTACGAACGCTCATCACCTAGTGTAATTCAGAGTCGTTATCATTGACTACTCAAGCTACCATTGACATTCTTTAGGAATTATTTGTTCATATTAATTAATTACTATGTATTGAATACATATTACTTGACCTTTACTGTGAGACTTCGCGTGTTTCGTCTCTAAGATATTTTTTCAGGTGAGAAACTTCCATATGAAATTTGTAAATGATATTCATTGAAATAATAATAAATCAGTACTATTTATGAACGGATCAAATAAGAGCTCACTGTCTGAACTCTATGAAATAAGTCGGTAGAAAATTGTGTTATTTTCTAAAAGGGCAATTGCAGTGATACATACATAACACGATCGAGTGATTTCAGTTGACATATATCTGCATGCAGTTTAATTATTTCATACGGCTGCAATAATTAAAGGATTTCAGTAGTCAAGTCTTTATATTCCCATTGGTTATTACTTATGCTGCGTACATTTATTTCCTGAGAAATAATTAGACAATGCCCGTGATACCACAAATAAGTTCATGAAGATCAGTTCGGGATTTCGTATTTAACTAGATATATTCACTATTTGATAATTAACCATAGATTATTTACCAATCTAGTTAAGTGAAATTTTCAAGGAATTAAACTACTCAATTCCCTAATTGCTAAGTATTACAGGAAATCACTTCCAAAATATGTCAATAGACTCTAAATATCTAAGGAAAATTTCCGAATTCTTTTTCTTTGAGAGCCGTAAAAGTTCAAAATGTTTTCACAATACGTATGTAGTGAACAAAACACCAGTGGGGACGATCGAATATATTTGACAAGAAATTACAGAGCATCTCAATAAAACCTGAGAACCATATAGTAAATCGTTAATCTGCAAAATCTCAACCCATCATCTCAAACTTGACTGTTCCTGTTGCAAACACCAATCCATTGTTCATGCGTTTTCATACCAATGGTGTTCCGGTTCCGTTCTTTCCTCATCGACCTTCTACTGAAATACATTATTTGCCTGACCACCGTTATATACTACTTGTGTGGATATAAGTAACTCACATCACACGTATAGGTAATAAGTGTAGTTCTCATGTAGAGTTAGTCAATGAGAGAGACATCAAAGTTAGGGGAGAATTATATCCACGAAATCATTGATTTCAACAAATTTGTAATCTTTAACGAAAACCACTTGATTTAGTTTCTGTAAATGAAGTAACTTATTTTTACTCTATATATAATCTATATTTACGTCACTGTCATACATATTGACCGGGGAAGTACGACAGTAGCGTGTATAGGTAAATGTGCCTATGTTCCATAGTGTACTAAAAAGTGAAAAATCTGATCAATATCATAAAAACAGTATTACATCTGCTCGATTCTTCTTATTTCTTTCTTAATCATCAATTATCAATTGATTGTGATTCTGGATGTTAATTATCATGTTTGAAACTACATCAAAAATTGTTATTTTATGATAAGCGGCTTAGTTAGTTTGCCTTTCTACAAATCAGCATTCGAGAAGCCACCACGATAATAGGACAATGAATCTTCTTTATTTGACATTAATTTAACGTCTTCCAATTAACAATTACTTCATGTTAAGTGGAAATATTTTGTTATTCAACTGAAATTTTTTTATAGGTTCTCTTTCTGCGACTTCTGAATTAAGATGGTCTACCATAATCTATTTGGTCATCACTCCTAAATTCGAATTTCACATTTGAAAATTATTCTTCAAGCTTATAGTTTTCTCCCTTCAATAATCCTACGTAATCTTATTTGAAATCATATCCATGGTTATGCAACCGATTATCAATTACTAAGTTTTAAACAAAGATGAATATTGTTCTGTGAATAAAATCGTTTTAGCTATCTGACCCATTTTATGTGCCGAACATTTGATTCGATCAATAAGTCACTGCCCTCTAATCGGCGGTCACAAGATATATGAGAAACCGGATTAAAAACTTTTTTCACTGTACGTAGAAAACAATCTCGTTTTATTTGATTTTATTAAACTCTGTGTTGTAACAAGTTGGTTAGCTAGTAAGACATTTATCCATAAAGCTTATGGATATTTCGTAGTCAGTTCCTTAATTTTGACGTTCTCGTACTGTAGTAAGTTTTCAATCGTCTACTGCTTGTTATCCTTTATCCCCTTTTGTTTTGGAAACTATTAATCCCACTGTGTACAGTGTTGATCATTTTGTAGATATTCTCTCACTTGATTACGGATAAAATAATTTGTTAACAGTTTTATATATATATATATATATATATATATATATATATATATACTCGTGATGATATTTATCTAGTCTCTAAGCTCGACGAATATGTACGAGGTAGACCACACTTGACATTTGAAGCTTCATACATTCACTTGCGTATACATACTGACTTTTCCATAGTTTAGGTTAGACTGAAATAAAATTTTAATAAATCATGCTCGCACTAACGCCTAATTATAGGTTTTAGTTCCTTTTTTGAGGTCTGAAATGAAGTTCGAAACGCGTGATTAAATGATTTAGTAAGACAATTGAAGTTACTTTACAAAAAATTGAAAAAAAATACAAATTTCTGAGAATGAAATTATATTATATATTAGAAAAATGTTGCTCATGTTTATTCCAAATGCGTAATAATATTCCAACGCCACACATTCATTGCACATCACATATCATTTATTCTATAATCTACTTAGCTTCAATGCACATAATTCATGTCTTTTAAATCAAAATATGTAGTGTGTTAAGTACTCAACCTCATCAAAACATTATATCAACTTAGTAATATTTTAACTACAGATGTGGATTTTACATTTTATCATTGTCAACAGTTGAAGCGATTCTCATTAGGCTTATCATTCGACCAGTATTTCAAGTAATGGAAACTGTGATTACTTACTTACGCCTGTTACTCCTAATGGAGCATAGGCCGCCGACCAGTATTCTCCAACTCACTCTGTCCTGGGCCTTCTTTTCTAATTCCATCCAATTCTTGTTCATTTTTCTCATGTCTATTTCCATTTCCCGGCGTAATCTGTTCTTTGGTCTTCCTCTTTTCCTTTGACCTTCAGGATTTCATGTGAGGGCTTGTCTTGTGACGCAGTTGGGTGCTTTCCTCAATGTATATCCTATCCACTTCCAGCGCTTCTTCATAATTTCTTCCTCTGCTGGGATCTGGTTTGTTCTCTCTCACAGTTGGTTGTTGCTAATGACTAGTATTAACTATTTCTTGATTACGTAAAAGGTTGTTTCATAAGAGGATAAGATTCTTCTGTATCACTCATACACGATACTTCACAGAATAGAATAACAAATCTTTATAGCTAAAGATAAGTACAATATTCATTAATC